GGGAGTGCAGCTGGAGCCCCAGGCCGGGCTCTGATGGTCTGGCCTTGACTCCCTCCTTCTCGTTCAAGCTCTATGGGCTTGGACACAGACAGTTCTAGAGTTCTCACGGGCCACCCTGATCTGGAGCAGAGTCATCATTCATTCACAGTATATATACAGAGCCCTGGAAATAGACCAGCATGTGCCTATGTGTTTTGAAGGCAGGAGATGCCACCACCACGTCCCTGGGCAGGCATTAAGCATTCAATCTGGGAAATGGGGTTCCAGAGTGACACCTTCAGAAGAGGGGCTCCTGAGTCACTGTGAGATCAGGCTTTGCTGGAGAAAACAGTGACAACAGAGCTAGACATGGAACAGAGCACTCCTAAAGAAGACAGATGGGGGGGGGGGGGACTTTCCCAGAAAGGACAGCTTAGAGGTGATTGAGGTGTTTTGGGGTGTGTGTGTATGCGTGTGTGATCTCTCTCTCCCTCCCCTTTCTCCCTCCCGTTCTCTCTCTCCCCCCCTCCCTTTCTCTCTGGCTGATCCTGGAGCTGAGGGTTTTTTTGGGTGTATGTATGCATGTGCATGTGCATGCATGCATGCATTGGTCCTGGAGCTTGAACTCAGGGCCTGGGCTCAGTCCCTGAATTCTTTTTTTTTGGGGGGGGGTCCGGTCGTGGGGCCTGAACTCTGGGCCTGGGCGCTGTCCCTCAGCTCTTCAGCTCAAGGCTAGCGCTCTACCACCTGAGCCACAGTGCCATTTCCTTCTTTTTGCTTATGTGGTGTTGAGGAATCGAACCCAGGGCCTCAGGCATACAAGGCAAGCGCTCTACCACTGATCCAGCTTCCCAGCCCCAGTCCCTGAATTCTTTTGCCCAGGCTAGAGCTCTACTGCTTGAGCCATAGCTCTTCTGGCTTTGAACTCTGGGCTTGGGTGCTGTCCCTGTGCTCTTCAGCTCAAGGCGAGCACTCTACCGCTTGAGCCACAGCATCACATCCGGTTTTCCAGTAGTTTTATTGGAGATAAGAATCTCACGGAGTTTCCTGCCCAGGCTGGCTTTGAACCACGATCCACAGATCTCAGCCTCCTGAGTAGCTAGGATTACAGGCGTGAGCCACCGGCGCCCGGCTTCTTCTGGCTTTCTTGGTGGTTCATTGGAGATAAGAATTTCCCAGACTGTTTCTTGCACAGACTGGCTTTGAACTACCATCCTCAGATCTCAGCCTCCTGAGTAGCTAGGATGATAGGCATGAGGCACCAGTTGCTGGTTGTGATTGAGGTTTAGTTGGTAGAATGAAGCTAAGTCTGGCTGGAGGTTAGAGCCCAGGGGCTGGTGGAGGAGGGATGGACACAGATCATGGAGTACGAAGTGGGGGCTGGACCCAGCTCGTGAAGGACTCTGCTTAGTTTTCTGGACTGGAGGAAGAGTCCCTGCCCCACCCTGGGCCAGTTCTAAGCTCAGGCTCGCAGCCAGTGTAGAAAATGGATGGGGCAGGGCTGGGGGCAGGAATTGCCAGCTCCTTGGGAGGCCGAGCTAGTAATCCAGAAGACAGGATGGCAACTAGTCTAAGCAGCAGTTGGGACACAGTGGTTAGATTCCAAAGAATGTAGATTAAGGGAAGGGGCTGTCCAGGGCATGAAGACAGACTGAACACATAGGGAGTAAGGGAGAGGGAAGTAAATTACTAGACAAGCCAGACGCTTGTGGCTCATGCCTGTTAATCCCAGCTACGCAGGAGGCTGAGATCTGAGGATCACTGTTGGAAGCCAGCTCAGGGAGGAAAGTCCATGAGACTCTTATCTGCAGCTGATCATCAAAAAGCTGGAAGTGGATCTGTGGCTCAAATAGTAGAATGTCAGAATTGAGACGAAAGGCTAAGGTCACAGTGGCCGGGTTCAGAGTTCAAGCCCCAATATTGGTGCGCGCACGCGCACACACACATACACACACTTGAAGAAATATAGAAATGGTTTTAGCATGAGTCCATTTCACAGAAAGAGTGACTGCCCAGAGTTACAGGATTAGACTAAACGGGGGTGAATCAGCCTCTTGGCTCTCGGTCACCACACTGGTGCTGGACAGCCACCCTTTGGTGGGTTTTGGTTACACACATGCCAAGCTCACCCTCTCCGCATCCTTCACCTCCACACAAGGAGGCCTGTTGATCTAGCTGGGGTCTGCATGCACCCTCCCCCACTTCATTCCTTGCCCTCCAGTCCCCTGAGGTACAGCCACCGGATTGGAGGTAGAATCCCAGATGCAGAACAGATGTTATTCTCAGGCACACCCAAGGCTTCCAGTTCCCCGGGGGGCGTTTGGGGGAAGCTCTGAGCAAGAGGACCCCAGCCTGGTTAGAGGGGCCCGAGAAGGAAACCAGAGAGGATGTCCTGGGGACCAACATGCTGTCTTCTGTCAGCTACTATTGTCTTCTTGCTGAATTTAATTAACTAATTAATTAGGTAATTAATTAATTTTGGTACCAGTCCTGGGGCTTGAACCCAGGGCCTGGGCGCTGATCCTCAGCTCTTCAGCTCAAGGCAAGCGCTGTACCACTTGAGCTACAGCACCACTTCTTTTTTTTTTTCTTCTTATTCTTCCCAAGGCTAGTACTCTACCACTTGAACCATAGCTCCACTTCCGGCTTTTTGGTAGTTCCTTGGAGATGAGACTTTCTTGCCCTAGCTGGCTTTGAACTATACTCCTCAGATCTCAGCCTCCTGAGTAGCTAGGATTATAGACAGGAGCTACCAGTACCTGGCTTCTTACTGGATTTACAGACTAAGCATCCTCTGAACGTAGAGACCCTGAGGTCACTGGAATTGGGGAAACTAAGGATCTGTAGCTTTCTTAGGTGTAGACCCAAGACTCCTGGATGATTCAATAAGTTGCTCATTAATTCATCACAGGGCTCTGAAATGTATGCAGAGTATGGCAGGAGAGACAAAAATCAAGCCCCAGGAGCTGTCCCTTAGGTTTTTGGCTCAAGGCTAGTGCTCTACCACTTGAGCCACAGCTCCACTTATGGCCTTTTGGTGGTTCATTGGAGATAAGAGTCTCACAGACTTTTCTGACCAGACTGGCTTTGGTTTTTGTTTTTTGTTTTTTTCCGGTCGTGGGGCTTTAACACTAGGACTGGGCATTGTCCCTCAGCTGTTCAGCTCAAGGCCAGTGCTCTACCACTTGAGCCACAGCGCCACTTTTGGTTTTCTGATGGTTTATTGGAGATAAGAGTCTCACAGCCTTTCCTGCCTGGGCTGGCTTTGAACCTCAATCCTCAGATCTCAGCCTCCAGAATAACATAACAAGCATGAGCCACCGATGCCCGGCCAGGTCCTATTATTTTTTTTTTTATAGATAAGGCTTGGAGGGGCTGGGAAGGTGGCTCAGTGGTAGAGCACTTGCCTTGCATGCCTGAAGCCCTGGGTTCGATTCCTCAGCACCACATAAGCAAAAAGAAAAAAGCCGGAAGTGGCACTGTGGCTCAAGTGGTAGAGCGTTACCCATGAGCTGAAGAGCTGAGGGACAGCGCACAGGCCCAGAGTTCAGGCCTCACGACCAGACCCCCCCCCAAAAAAAATAAATAAAAATAAGGCTTGGAAATGGGTTCCATGTCTTCGTGTGTGTGTGTGTGTGTGTGTGTGTGTGTGTGTGTGTGTGTGTGTGTGTGTGTGTGGTTTTTCTGGACAGATTCTCCTTGTGTAGCCCAAGCTACAGGCCTCACATTCCTGATCCTACTACCTCTGTCTCCCAAGTGTGGGGTTGCCAGCCTTGTGCTGGCTCAGTTTTGTGTCATTTTAGTGTGTCTTGGCATGTCCACTTGTAATTTTAGCTGTTCAGGAGGCTGAGATCTGCGGATTGAGATTCAAAGCCAGCCCAGGCAGAAAAGTCCATGAAAGGGGCTGGGAATGTGGCTTAGTGGTAGAGTGTTTTCCTAGCATGCATGAAGCCCTGGGTTAATTCCTCAGTACCATATACCAGAAAAAGCCAGAAGTTGAGCTGTGGCTCAAGGGAGTAGAGTGCTAGCCTCGAGCAAAAGAAGCTCAGGGACAGTGCCCAGGTCCTGAGTTCAAGCCCAGGTCTGGCAAAAAAAAAGTCCATGAAACCTGGTCCCCTGAGGGGACCAAGACATGGGCCAGTCACACCAGCATTGCAGATGAAGGAGGACCAAGACCTTCCCAGCATTCCTTCCACCTGTTGGTGGGAGGGGCCTAGAGTGGGAAGGGATGTGAACAAGCCAATGGAAGAAACTGACTACCTTGCATCTCCTGGGAAAGTGGAGGGTGCTGCGGCCAAAAGTGTGTGTGTGTGTGTGTGTGTGTGTGTGGGCTAGTGCTCTACCACTTGAACCACACTTCCACTTTGGGCTCTTTGGGTAATTGAAGATGAGAGATTTATGGACTTTCCGGATCTCAGCCTCCTGAGTAGCTAGGATTACAGGCATGAGCCACCAGTATCCAGCCGAGCCAGCACTCTTAAATTTCTTTTATTTGGTGCTCTATCGCTTGAGCCATACCCAGCCCCTTAGCTTCGGTTACTATTGTGGGTGTGCCCATGTGTGTGCCAGTCCTGGTGTTCAAACTGAGAGCCTGGGCTCTGCCCCTGAACTTTGGTACTCAAAGCTAGCACTTTACCACTTAAGCCACAGTCCCACTTCCAGCTTTTTAGTTACTTAAGAAAGAAGTAGTTACTTAAGAAAGAAGAGTCTCATGGACTGGCTTCGAACTGCGATCCTCAAATCTCAGTTTCCTGAGTAGCTAGAATGACAGATGTAAGCCACTGGCACCAGGCAGCTCCAGTTATTTTTGAGCTAGGATCTTGCTTTTGGCTTCGGCCATCCTGGACCATGATCCTGCCATATGCTTCCCGCCACAGCTCAGATGACAGGTGCACACGACTACGCCCAGCATTTCTCTGTTGAAACTGGGGTGGGGGTGGGGGAGAGGGGTGTCTCACAAACTTTCTCTGCCAGGGCTGGCCTGGAACCACCATTCTCCTGATCATAGACTCCCACATAACTGGCATGCTGGTGTACCCCACCCAGCTATTGGTTAAGATGGGGTGGGGGTATCTTGTAAACTTTTCACCCAGATTGGCCTCCAGCCAGATCTCAGTGTCTCTAGTAGCTCAGGTTACAAGTGTGAGCCACTGATTCCTGCCCTCCCCCCACATTCAAGGGCAATTCTCATCTTGATGCTGGATTCATTTGCTTAAAAAGTTAAAGGACAGTTTTCTGTCTCCTAGAAAGAAAGGCCAAATTTCCCCCCATCTGTAAAAGGAAGACCTCAGGTTTTGCTGACATTTCCATTCCAATGGGCTCAAGCCTGTAATCCTCACTCCTCAGGAGGCTGAGATGTGAGGATCGCTGTTTGAAAGCTAGCCTGGGTAGGAAAATGGCTGATGGCACGTTGCAGCTGCTCTCTGAGGGAGACCCTGTTCATTCTGCATTCTGATTCCCTCTTGCTTTCCCTGTTCTGCCTTGCTGGGCTCCTTGGAGGTGGCAAAGCCAGACATCTGCTGATCTATGAATATTCAGAAAGGGAATTGAAGCTCTTCTGGACTCCCCAGCCAGCCGCCCGGCCCTGGCTGCAGTCCTGGTCTTGCCTGCCAGAGCCCAGGGTGCTGATACCCAGCAGCTGCTAGGGCCCCAGTGTTCACATTGTTTGTTCAGCCCAGCAGGGGATTTTCCAAGCCCTGGACAGGCTTTCAGGAGCGGGAGGGTTCAGGGATTCATGTCATGTGGGGCTTTTTTTTTCTCCCCTAAAACCTAAGCCAACTGTTCTGTGGCTGGACTTGGGGTATTTGGGGCTGAGAGCCTGGCCTGGCCTTCCCCCAACCCAGAGTTTGCATCATGAAATCTAAGGCCTTAGAGATAGAAAGGACTGCATTCTCTTGTAAACTGAGGCCCTCAGTTTAATTCCTTACCACCCCCCCAAATATCTCTCTCTGTCTCTGTCTCTGTCTCTGTCTGTCTCTGTCTCTCTGTTTCTCTCTCTCTCTCTCTCTCTCTCTCTCTCTCTCTCTCTCTCTCTCTCACACACACACACACACACACACACACACAGAGGAATAAGTTTGGTGCCAGTGGTTCATGCCTATAATCTTAGCTACCAAGGAGGCTGGGATCTGTGGATCATGATGCAGAGCTGGAAGCTGAGGCGGGGTTTTACAAGGGTACCAGCGTCGAGGGGAAAAGCAGAGGGACAACACTCAGGCCCTGAGTTCAAGCCCTGGTTACCAGCACCAAACAAATCAATAGGAAGTGTTTTCTAATTTCCTAGCCCTTCTGCTTTTTGAGGGTCCCATATGTCTCTCTGGTAGCCAGGACCTGCCACCTGATGAATAAAAAGTCATCTCTAAAATCTGAGGCTCACTGTTTGAAGCCAGCTTGGGCAGGAAAGTCTGGGAGATGCGTATCTCCTGTTGACAGGGGGAAAAAATGCTGGAAGTGGAGCTGTGGCTCAAGTGGTAGAGCACTAGCCTTGAGCGAGATCGCTTTGGGTCAGTGCCCAGGCCCTGAGTTCAAGCCCTAGGAGGTCTCAGGACAGAGGAGGAGAGAGAGAGATTGGGTCACTGAGTGTCTATGGGTTGGAGTGTTAGCAGATCAGCCTGTGGAAGAACCAAGCATTTCTCTGTGAGTAATGGTGACTGACCCCCACTAAAATGTAGGTTAAGGGACTCAGCTTTCCCTTCTGTGGTTTTGCCTAACCCTGGGAGGCATTCCTTCCTCCATCTTCCCTCCACTCAGGCTCTTCCTCTGTGTGGGTCAGGACACCCAGGAACTGCCCCCTTCCTGGCCTTGCAGATGGTAGCTGCCAGCAGGAACATTTAGCTTTTCCAGTCTCCTGAGCAGAAGCAGCCGCTGGCTCTGGAACTCAGTCCCATGGAGTTTGCTCTGAATCCAACTCAGTCTAGGTCCTATCTCCATGGGCAGGGCCTACTTAGCTCTTTCATAATCATCAGCTAGGACATTTATTATTATTATTATTATTATTGTCCGTTGTGGGGCTTGAACTCAGGGCCTGGCCACTGTCCCTGCACCTTTTTGTTCAAGGCCAGCACTCTATCACTTGAGCCACATCCAGCTTTTTTTTGGTAGTTTATTGGAGATAAGAGTCTTATGGGGGGCTGGGAAGGTGGCTCAGTGGTAGAGTGCTTGCCTTGCATGCATGAGGCCCTGGGTTTGATTCCTCAGCACCACATAAGCAAAAAGAAAAAAAAGCCAGAAGTGGCACTGTGGCTCAAGTGGTAGAGTGCTAGCCTTGAGCTGAAGAGCTGAGGGACAGCGCCCAGGCCCAGAGTTCAGGCCCCACGACTGGACCCCAAAAAAAGAAGAGTCTTATGGCCTTTCCTGCCTGGGCTGGCTTTGCACCACAATCCTCAGATCTCAGCCTCTTGAGTAGCTAGGATGACAGGTGTGAGCCACTAGCACCCAGCTCTACAGGATTTTTCTTACCCCCCAAAAGAGAACTCACCAAACGCTGGTTCAAGGCTCAGGACTGGCACAAAGAAAAATAAAGAGACCTCATGCTCAAGAGCAGTCTATCTCTCCTCTTCTCCCACAGCCCCTGGTGATCAGTCATCTCCTTTATGTTGTGGTAGACGTGTCTGTTCTGAACACTTCGTGGAAGCAAGAACATGCAAATGGGCATTTTGTGACTGGTCTAGGGTGTTCAAGGTTCATCCACAAGGGAGCACAACTCAGTTCTTCACTCATTTGGCTGGCTCAATAACATGCTTTTCTGCTCATCGGGTGAAGAATGGTTGGGTTGTTTGGGACATCATGAATAATGCTGTTGTATCCTGGATCCTTTTCATGGGGGGGGGGGGGGAAGAAGTTGAACAGTAACGAGCGTCGCAGGTGCATCAGGCACAGTGGCTCACGCCTGTAATCCCTGTTACTCAGGAGGCTGAGATCCCATCTCTGACTCAGTGGCTCAGGAGCAGGGAAGACACACACTGATAGCTCTGCGGCCTCCTCCTCTCCCCAGGGGAGCTGCCCACACCACAGGAGACAAGTATAGAGCTGAGCTGCGCTGCGGGGCCATTGCAAGTGATCCTGGGCCCAGACCAGGCCGCCATACTGGACTGTAGCCTGGGGACTGCCGCCACTGGACCCGCCAACAAGGTGACCTGGAGCAAAGATGGGCACACCCTCGTGGAACACGACCACCTGCGCCTGCTCCCCAACGGCTCCCTGTGGCTGTCCTGGTCTTTGGCAATGGCTGATAGAGATGAGGAAGCAGCTGGGGAGTTCAGCGCCATTGAAGGCAGTTATTCCTGCCTGGTCCATGGCCCTCTCGGAGTGATTGCCAGCCAGGCTGCAGTGGTCAAGCTTGCCAGTAAGTACCTGCATCCAGGGTTGCCATGCTGGGGCCAGGAGACCTGGGGTGTGAGGTGTGCAATTAGCTCCCTGCACAAACGCCCCCCTCTTTTTTTTTTTTTTTTTTTTGGCCAGTCCTGGACTTGAACTCAGGGCCTAGGCACTGTCCCTGAGCTTCTTTTGCTCAAGGATAGCTCACACCTGTCATCCTAGCTACTCCGGAGGTTGAGATCTGAGGATCAGGGTTCAAAGCCAGCCTAGGCAGGAAGGGCTGTGAGACTCTAATCTCCAATTAACCACCAAAATGCTGGACATGGAGCTGTGGCTCAAATGGTAGAGCCTTGAGCTCAGGGACAGCGCCTAGGCCCTGAGTTCAAAGCCCCAAGACTGGCACACACATGTACAAAAAGGATCAGCCCAGGAGCTGTGTCTATACACAGGAAAGTGAGTGGACCCCACCCCGTCCCCGCATCCCCCCAACTCCCAGCTATCATCTCTTAGGGCTATCAGTAGGCACTAAAACCACCATGACTGGGCAGAGAAACCATGAAGTTCACTCTGCCAGTGGTCTAACCCGTAATCACGGGTTTGGATTCTTTAGCTATTTCTTTCCAATTGTGTTCCCCTTGGTCTCAATTTTGCTCTGCTGTGTGTTTTCCATAACACACTCACTTTGCCGCTGTCCTGACCCCTAGCACTGGAAGATTTTTCTCTACACCCGGAGTTTCAGACAGTGGAGGAGAATGGAACAGCTCGCTTCCAGTGCCACGCTGAGGGGCTGCCGGCACCTGTTATTACCTGGGAGAAGGACCAGGTGACATTGCCTGAAGAGCCTCGGTGAGTGTTCTGGGGGGGGGGGGGGGGGTTGCGTCTCGAAGCCACACATACCTTGGTAGAAAATAGCCCTGTGACTGCTGTGAGAATTTTTCTTTTCTCTCCCTCCCTCCCTCCCTCCCTCCCTCCCTCCCTCCCTCCCTCCCTCCCTCCCTCTCTTTCTCTCTCTCTTTCTTCCTTCCTTCCTTTTTCCTTCTTCCTCCCTTCTTTCTTTTTTTTTTGGGGGGGGGGGGAATGCGGTCCTGTGGCTTGAATTCAGGCATTGTCCCTGAGCTTTCGTGTTCAAGACTAGCTCTCTACCACTTGAGCCACAGCGCCACTTCTAGCTTTTGGGTAGTTAATTGGAGATCAGAGTCTCACAGACTTTCCTGCTCAGGCTGGCTTCAAACCACAGTCTTCAGATCTCAGCCTCCTGAGTAGCTAGGTACCTGGTGTCTGGCTTTTCTTGTTTCTTTTTGTTTCCTTTATTGAAAAATTATTTTAGTGTAAAGATGCTGTACAGAGGGGTTGCAGTTACACGAGTAAGGTAATGAGTGCATTTCTTGTCAAACATTGTTACCCCTCCTTTTTTGTTTCCTTTTTGTGTCCATACTGGGGCTTGAATTCAGGGCCAGAGTATTGCCCCTCGGTTCTTTTTTTTTTTTTTTTTTTTCACTCAAGGCTGATGCTCTACCATTTGAACCAGAGCACCACATCTTGTTTTTTTGCAGGTTCACTGGAGATAAGAGTCTCATGGACTTTCTTTCCAAGGCTGGTACATAATACATAAGATGTAAGATGTGTAAGATGGTGGATATTACCAGGCACTGGTGGCTCACACCTGTAATCCTAGCTACTAAGGAGGCTGAGATCTGAGGATCGAGGTTCAAAGTC